TCGATTGTAAAAAGTATACCACAACCCTTGAATAAACCAACTCCAATTTGCTTCATTTTCTTGGTCACAAATGCAAAGTGTGAGTAGAAATATGCTTTGATTACCATCATACAGTCACACCTAATAAGATCCCTTTGTAATGATCTTTCAGAAATGTTCCATCTAGAAAGACCAATGACCTACATCCCTTGAGAAACCCCTGTATGCATGCACTATAGGATAAATAAACGCTTGAATCGTCTTTCTTTTTATTCAATAATAACGATATTGCCTAGATTTGTTTCCATCATCTTCATTTGGTACATTTAAATGATGATGAAAAGGACAATTAATTTGTTAAATGATGAATAAATTATAAAGGTCACATATAACACATGAATGTCACATATAAGGTTTAAACGTCAATATAAGACCTAAATGTCACATATTAGATCTAATGTCACAATTGAGGCCCCAAAGCTAAAGTTTACGACTTAAATATCACATAAAAGGTCTAAATATAACATACTATACTTATAAGTTACATAACATTCTGAAATGTCACATTTTAGGTTACTAAATCACATATAAGTTCTAAAGGATACATCAACAAATTAATGGACTAATCAGGATAGTGAACCATATGAATGCCATGCGCAGCCAAATATTTAGTCTTTTGCTATCTCCTTAGCATGCCAAACTTTAGAATAATTAACTTTTAAAAACCATACTGAGAGTACAATTCCTTTCTAATGTTAGTTGGGATGATATATGGACACCTCTTCATAATTGATTGTAGCATACTCGCAATCCACCTTCTCGATACTCTAGAGTGACTAGCTGTGTTGTTATGTTGTCCACAAGTATGTTGAGGAACAACTTTTTTTTATAGCAAAGGTTGACACATGGCTTAATGGTGAAGCGTGAAGCAACCACGGACATTTTATTTCTTTTCTGAACATGAAATTAGCACGAATGCGTTTTGGCTCATTATTAATATATTTAAAAGAGAACTTCTTAGGTATAGAGTAGTATATAAGAGTCATTCTAACATCTTCTGTGCCTTCAAATTGCTGCCCTTTTCCAGTAATTGCCTCACGTCACCATGTCAGGATTCCTGTCGAGTCACTTACTACGTCGTCCATCATCCACATATACTATTCTTGAGGATTGTCATTTGGGATCCTCTCTAATTCCTTGATATGCTTCGATGATTGTAAGTTATAGTAGGAAGACTAAAAGTTGAATATAACATACATATAAGTCATGTGTGACAATTACAAATAACTGTTAACTTGTATATGTCACAAATAAAGTCGATATGTCACGTGCAATGTCTACAGGTCACATATAAGACGTAAATATTAGGTCTCATGTTTATGAGCCTATTATCTAATCTAGTTTTGATGATTAACAAATAATTCCTAACATCGTGCGTCGAGTGTTTACATTTGTTTTACTAGGTAATCTACACAAATATCCTCTGTCGGAGGTTGGTTGTAATTGAGCTTAACGATGACATTCAAAGAAGGTTGGAAGGAAATCAGAATGAAGACGTCACAATTCAAGTTAAGATTCAATACCGTGCTTCATCCCCACTACCAAGATCGAACTCAAATGAAGATCATCTACTTGGGTACATAGTTTTGTAGTTTAGACTTTACTTTGTGTTTATACTTTAAAGCTCAAACTACACACATACACGTTTTGCTTTATCATATTATACATTGAAAATAACGTATTTGTGGATTAAAAACTTTATTATACTATTTTATATCTTTCCTCAAGTCTATTAATCTATTTTAAAGTGTTTCAAAACTTGTTTGAATAAATTTTATCAAAATTAAGTTTTAATGTTTTCGTATTTTTTAACGATTTACAAAATACACGAGTTTTCACAAATGGGAAATAAAATTTGAAAATTTATTTTTCCAACATGTTCAATATCATGTGTATAAACATTTACCAAAGTTTTATCATTTTTTAAGTTGATTTACTATGTTAAATCGATTTTACAAAATCAAGTGTTCAGTAGTTTTTAGAATCTAGAATATCTATTTTAAAACAGTAATTTATCACAAATAGAAAGTGATATTTTAGAAATTCTTTTTCTAACATGTTTATTTTCATGTTTATAAACATTATCCAAAAGTTCATGATTTTTAGACTTTATTTTCTATTTTTAATTAAATTTAAAAAGACAGCTGCACAAAATTTTAGAATCTGCCAGATTAGCCAATGGTCACATTATCGATTGACCGACACACATTATCAGTCGACCGATCGTAGATTTTTCAGCATAATGGCTAGTTTTGGCTGCTTGGTTTTTGAGGGTATAAATACCCCTCTTGCTTTGGCTTTTCTCAAGGGTTTTTATATAAGTTTTGGGCTGTTTGTTTCTGTGTTTCAAGAGAGAAAAAGTTTGTTTTTGTTAATATGAAGAAGCTTTCACAAAGAGAAGAATCTTTCAATTTCGGTTTTGAAGGAGTTCAACCTCAATTTTTATCTACGTCTCTTTGTGCCTTCTTAGAGAAGTTTTTCTAACTCTTTAATCTAGCTTATTCTCATTTTGATTCTTATATATATTTGCTAGATTAATTTGAGTTTAATTTTGTTTTTGCTCATTGATTACACACAACCACTTGAGCCTTAAGTATTTTCACATATTGTATTTTTGGGTTGTGGGGTTGTGTCATTGAGAGAGAGCTTACAATTTTGTTCTCATCCTTGTTAGAGAACAAATCATTTGTATTTAATCTTATTATTATGAGATCACGTTGTAATACACAAGTACACTTAGAGGAGTGGTTGGGAAAGACCATGGTCAATTTCAAGAGGAGTGACGTTGGTTGTTGTAGGCGTCAAAAATTATCTATAGGTTCCCGCACGCAGTTCGAGACGAAGTGAATGCGATGAATGTCATTATCTGAGTCAAAGGAGATCGTCCAAGGCTAAGAAGAAACGAAGGAATGCGTACGAGACGTTGAAACACGCACAAAACAACAAAACAAGATCAAAACGGGGCATCGCCACCTACGAGTCGCATCAAAGTGACCTGTTGGTGTGCGGGTCACATTGAAGTGACCCACACCCATGCGGGTCACACTGAAGTGACCCGCATACTTAGGTTCTTGAAAACACGTTTCTCGATAGGATTTTGGGATTCTTTCGTTTCAGAGCCTCCCCAACTGCCTTGAGGCTATCCTTAAACGTGGTTAAGTCATTGTTGGCTAAGGATAAGGTTAAATCATTAATTTCTATCTTAAAATGCTGCATTCGGAGCCTATAAATATAAGCTTAGGACCCCTATACACAGGGGATGGGAAATTTTGAGAGGAGGGCGAGGTGTTGTCGGTTTAGAGAGTGAAATCCCATGAACTTCAGAGAGGCTAGCAGATATTGGTGGACTCCAGCATAAAGAGGGAGCTTTTCGAAGGATCTGAGGCCTGTTCCCACCATCTCTTAAGATCAAACGTCAATTTGATATTAAGAAGAGTATTCATCTCGCGTCGTTTTGATATCTACTTATGTTATTGTTTCTTTTGTGAAGCAACAAACATCAAACCTTCGTGCATCGACCGGATCTGGTCTGCAGCGGTCCATGGACTAACGCGTCCCCGGTACAAGCAAAGATCCCACGCAAGCAGCAGGTGATAAACATCGTCTGCGTGTGTTTCTAGGAGATTATTTTGATAATTTATTTGTAAAAGAGAAGTCTTATAAAAAGGCTAAAACTCATTTGAATCTGTGTAAACGATAAACGTTGTAATGGGTTCAACAAATAAATCAATTTCTGACGCAAACAGATGTAAATCCTAGGGAGAGGTAGTAAATCCAAAAACTTGAGGAAGGTGAGACGGGTAGGCCAACACTTAGAGGAGTGTTTTGTCTGATTATCAACGTGTGATTTGTAAAAGTTTTTGGTGAGCTTTGGAAACCGATTCTGTAGTTATTGTGTTGATAGTGGAGAATCTCCTCGAGGTGAGGAGCGGAGACGTAGGTCGAGGGTTGACCGAACTCCGTGAACATATAATTGTGTTTGTGATTGTTTTGGCGCACTCTTATTATCTCATTGTTTATATCGCCTATTGGTTATTTGTTTATCCTTGCATATATCACTTTGTATATTATATTGCTAGGATATTAGTTAATAAGTTTTAATTTGACATCGTATTCAAACTAGATTAGCAAATTACCCTATTCACCCCCTCCCCCCTCTAGGGTACTTTCAATAAATATCACAATTCTTATTATAATGTGTATACAGAACCTGAAAGGAATCTTTTGAATATTTACTTAAACTATGTTTCTGTCCCTATAGCATGAGTGGATTATTCATCTCTTTCAGTAACAGTCATGGTTATCGTATTTAACCCTATTGAACGATGATAATCCATTATGTTGAGATTATCTTCATCTTTTAAAAGCTCAAATGAGACATTGAGAAACTTCTCGAGAGCATAACTTATCAATAAACTTTCTTATGATACTTTTAAATTCTTTGCAGCGTGCATCTTCAATTCAGCTAAACTTGTTGCAGAATTGATTTTAATGAGGGTTGCATTGATGTTCAGCGAAATCACACATATTAAAGATTATTCCATTTTAGTTGTTGGAGAAGTTAAGAAGAAAAAAGATATTACCTTGACATGAGACATTATTTGGAGGGAACTTAGTATTTTTCCCTTCAATTTTCTCTTTCTCTCTAAAAAAATCTCTCTCAAATATTAATGTAATTCTTCTCTCTTTGAACCCAATACTTATCACTTCTTACTGTATAATCTAAAGAGAGACGGCCAAATAAGATAAAAAAAAGTTTTGACAATCTACAAAGGGGCACAAAAGGGTAAACTAGACATTACTTCAAAATACAGTATATGTACTTTATAGTTTGTTGGGCTAATGGTATTTTAGCATAGATACTTGGGTCAAAGAGCTTAAATGGATTTGACTTTAGTTAAGAGTGGTGAGTGCATAACTTTTTACAAATTGATTCCTCCAATTAATTTTTTCCAAAAATCTAATGTTAATAAATAATAAAATGGACGACCACTTTACGTATGATGTCTTATAAACAACTAATTTTACGAACAACCACCACGCAGCACCTTATTATCCCCTCTCCGCTCTGTAGAAAGCCCTCTCAATTCTCAAATCAAAAGGTAAACTCCCTTCTCATTCAATCCCAATTCCAAGCTTCATCATCTCCTTCAGATCTAGATCCCACATTATTACTGTCTCTGTCACTGAGTTTTCATCCAATTTCTAAATTGCCCATCACCTGTTTGTTAAATTAGCTCACCCATTTTGTTTGTTTTGCTCAGTCAAGAGATGGAAAGCTCTGTAGCGCTCTTCAACCAGCTCAAGGTTCGATTTTGACGTATGCCCATTAGTTTTCTACTGTTGATTAATACATCTACTGAAATTTAGGCATAATTTAGTCAAACTTGTGGAATGTGATCAGGGTGCTGAGCCATTTTTCTTGCTGGCTGGACCTAATGTTATTGAGTCTGAGGAGCATGTGATGAAGATGGCCAAGCGCATAAAAGATGTCACTTCTAAGTGAGTAAGAGCCCATGTTTAATGTTGATGAATTTTCTGTTCTTGGGATGTTGATTAGTAATTCACGATATTGTTCGAATAGGCTTGGGTTGAAGCTAGTTTTCAAGTCTAGCTTTGACAAGGCTAATCGTACTTCGTCGAAATCATTTCGGGGTCCTGGATTGGAAGAGGGGCTGAAGGTAGTGAGCAACTTATCTTTGTGATTATTTTTACAAATTGTTTCA